TTTAAACACTAATGCCAATGTGGAAGTCAGCATTTCCCTCCACACAAAAAAAGACAGAAATAAAATTAAACAAAATTTTCACATGTAACCTTTCAACCAGCGAAAAAACAAATTGAGAGGCAAATCGAGAGGCATTTATTATTGAGAAATTACTACACACTAAGGTAAGAAAATCAAAAGTCAATGGCTTTGATGATGGGACTAACACCCAAACCACCGTCCCAGTTGAGAGGGAGAGGGAGAGAAAACAGAGAAGAAATTAAAAACATAAATAAGCTGAGAAACCAGATGCTGCACACCATGGAGTAAATAAAATCTGGAGATTAGACAAGGCAAATTATTAAAACAAACAAAAAACCAATAACCCATGGGGCGCCTGGCTGGCTCAGTCAGTAGATCATGCAACTCTTGATTTCAGGGTTGTGAGTTCAAACCCCATGTTGGGTATAGAGATTATTTAAAAATGAAATCTTTTTAAAAAGAAAACCAGTGGGGCACCTGGGTGGTGCAGTTGGTTAAGCGTCCAACTCAGTTTCAGCTCAGCTGGTGATCTCAGGGTCGTGAGATCAAGCCCCACATCAGGCTCTGCACTCAGCACAGAGTCTGCTCAAGATTCTCTCCCTCTGCCCCTGAAGCTCATGTGCTCCCTCCTCTCTTACTCTCCCTCTCTCAAATAAATAAATCTTTAAAAAAAAAGAAAACCAACAACCCATGGACAAACAAAACAGAAGTCAGACTTGCTATAATATTTATCTGAAATACTCAGTTTTCAACCAAAATTACTACACTTGCAAGGAAATAAAAAAGTGTGATTCATAATTTTAAAAAAAAGCAGTCAATCAACGAAATGACTCAAGTTCCAAGTGTCAGACTTTGCAAACATTTCCAAGACATGCAATAAATACATTCAACTAATTTTAAAATGGTATGTCTAAATAATTAAAAGAAAACAGATTAACAGTAACTAAACAATAAGGAAATTCCAATAAAGATAAAAACGAATCACATGAAGATTCTAGTGGTGAAAAGTAAACATGAAAAAAGAAAAATTCACAAGAGGTACTCAACAGCAGATTCAGATGGCAAAAGACAGAGTCTGTGAACTTCAACAGATCAAAAGAAATTATCCAATCTAAAGAAGAGAGAGAAAATGATGGAAGGTAAATTAACAGACCTTTAGAAACCTGTGAGACAATGTAGCATTCCATCGAAGGTATAATGCAAGAGCCAAAAAAAAAGAGGAATGGGGAAGAAAAACTTTCTTCAAGTTTCTTCAAACTATGGGGGGAAATCTTCCAAAATTTAATGAAAAAACATTAACTTACAGATCCAAGAACTCAATAACAAAAGGATAAAAAACAAAGAGAATCACAACTTAACAAAATATAGTAAAATTTCAAAAACAAAAACAATTGTTAAAAGCATCAAGATAAATATGACTCAACATATAGAAAACAACAGTAATACAAGGCTGACATCTCAGCACAAACAGTAGAGGCCAAAAGTCAATTAAACCAAAGTGCAAACTGAAAGAAAACTGTTAAAATTTTATATCCAGCATAATTATTATCCAAAAATGAAGAAAAGTAAAAGTATTCTCAGATGAACAGACTGGGAAAATTCATTGCTAACATACATGCCTTATAAGAAATAATAAAGTCCACCAAGAAGAAAGGAAATATAGTATTATAAAATCATTAAACAGAAAATATTTTTTAGAAAACTAGGGGCACCTGGGTGGCTCAGTCAGTTAAGCAGCCAACTCTTGATTTTGGCTCAGGTCATGATCTCAGAGTCCTGCAATTAAACCCCACAGAGGGTTCCCTGCTCAGCGGGGAGTCTGCTTGAGGATTCTCTCTCTCTCCCTCACATTCTGCCCCTCCCCTCCGCTCATCCCCCTGCTCATGCACTCACGCTCACTCGCTCTCTTGTGCTCTCTCTTTAAAATAAATAAATAAAACTCTAAAAAAAAAAAGGAAAGAAAGAAAGAAAACTAAACAATCAACAGGGAGTTCTGGTTCAACCAAGATTGAGTAAAGCTAATAACAGCCTCTCTGTCTTACATATTAGAACTAAAACAATGGGAAAAAATACAAAAAGCAATTTCATTAAGTACTCTGAAGACCAAACAAAAGCAGATGCATTGGTGTAAAGGAGGTAAAATTTGGAGAATTATCCATTACAGAGAGAAGAGCCTCAATTTTTATTTTCCCTTGTAAATCTGACCCAAAAGTGAGCTCTTATCTCAGAGGTGGATGTTAGAAGCTCAGATGGCTAATATTCTGACAAAAATTGTCCTCTGGTTAGAGGAACTAAGAAAATGGGTCCGTACAGGTGGCGGGGGGGCAGGGAGGAGAGTGGTCCTGAATAGGAGCAAACAGGAGAGAAAGATCCTCAGAATCTTTGTAAAACCCCACAAAATTCCTAAACTGACTCGAGATGTACTTGTGTGGAGCAGACACAGACCAGAATAGCGAAATCTTTCTAAATTAAAAAAAGAGGGATGCCTGGGTGGCTCAGTCGTTAAGCGTCTGCCTTTGGCTCAGGTTATGATCCCAGGGTCCTGGGATGGAGTCCCGCATCGAGCTCCTTGCTCAGCAAGGAGCCTGCTTCTCCCTCTCCCTCTGCTGCTTCCCCTGCTTGTGCTCTCTCTCTGACAAATAAATAAAAAACCTTTAAAAAAATAAATAAAAATTAATTAATTTAAAAAATATTTTGAATTATCACCCAATTCTCTACCTAATCGCTGAGTGCATTATGTGCAACAAAGACACAAAGCAGGACAAGAGAGGTTTTTACAATAAATGACATTTGGAACCTCTACCCACAAAGGATAGGTAGAACTTGCAGTCTGACCCTTCTTACTAAAATAAAATAAAACAAAATGTCAACATTAGTTAGAGGATTTTAACAAAACACATAGTTTATAAAAGATAACATTCATAATGTCTAGGATACAATAAAAAATTACTCAACATACAAAGAACCAAGAAAATATAACCATTTCTCGCAGGAAAAGACACTGAACGAATGCTGATGAGATAGGCAAATTGTTGTAATTATGACACAAAGATATTAAAGGAGCTATTATAAATATGCTCTGGAAGGTAAAAGTAAACACAGTCTAACAGTATCAGAAAATAGGGTTCTCAACAAAAAAAGTATAAAATTAACCATATTAAAATTATACAACTGAAACATACAAATCTAAAATATTTATGAGATGAGCTTAATACCAAAATAGAAAAAGCAAACAAAAAGTCCATAAAGTTGAAGATCAAGTTTATCACACATAGCAAGCTTCTATATCAACAGACAGTTATCAAATCTGAAGAACAAAGGAAAAAGATTGACATAAACTCAAAAGAGGCTCAGGGATGTGTATATCAAAACCCCTAATATTCATGTCACTAGAGACCCAAAGTAAAGGGAGAGAGATATAACTGAGGCAAAAAATAGGAAAATAAGGGCCCAAAACGTCTCAAAATTGGTGATAATCACAAAGAAAAATACAATGAAATTGTAGGGGGAGCTAGAGAATATGTCTTGAAAGCAAGTACAAAAGTGTAGTACATTTTATTTAGCAAAGATTTAAATAACGATATATTTCTCATTCGAAACCATGGGTACCAGCAAACAATGGAAAAATATTTTAAAGTACTAAAAGAAAAAAGTAGAATTCTACACAGAATTCTATATGCAGCAAAAATAACCTTGCGTGATGAAGGCCAGATAAAATTATATTCAGAGGGGCACCCGGGTGGTCCAGTGGAGTGTCTTGGTTTCAGCTCAGGTCATGATCTCAGGTCATGAGATGGAGCCCTGCTTCCGGCTCCACGCTCAGCAGGGTGTCTGCTTGAGATTCTCTCTCCCTCTTTCTTTGACCCTCCCCCCACTCGCACTCTCTAAAATAAATAAATAAATAAATCTTTTTAAAAATTATATTCAGGAAAAATAATTTAAAAATAATTTAAAAAAATAATTTAAAAATTCATTTCCAAGAAAACTGCTCAACAACAAATGTGAATAGAGTTCTTCCAGAATGGAAGAAAAGAATAAAAGAAGTTATAACTATCTGGAAAAATGTAAACAGGGATTTTTCTTCCCTTAAATTCTTAAAATACATATAACAAGTGAAACTAAAAATTGTATCATTGTCTAGAGAGACTTGTGATATATTAGATGTAGTAACAAACAATGGCAGTTAAAGGGATAAATAGTTGAAATGGTTCTATATTTTATTTGAAGAGGTAAAATATTAAAGTAGACTGTGAAATCTCTGTGCAACTACTAAAAAAAATTTACGCAGAGAAAGATATAAAACCAAATAGATTAATTTTAAAAGAATACTAAAGGAATTCAAATACAAAGAACACAGGAAAAGAGAAAAGGAGGGAAAAAATTACACTGGGACAAATAAATAATAAAATGCTAGGTGAAAATAAAGCCTTATCAGTAGTTACATTAGCCGTAAATAGTCTAAACACAATGAGAAGACTTAGTTTCTCAGAGTATATTTCAAAAAAAATAAAACTGTAAGAAAACAAATTTCTGTTGTTTGGGCAACCCAGTCTATGATATTTTGTTATGGAAGCTCACGTAGACTAATACAATGATGATTTGGGATTAGGGATGAAGGCAGCAGTGTTTAAAAGGGAGCAGAGAGATCTTTTCTTGCAGTGCAAATGAGTACTACTGTCCTAGGACCTAAAAATAACTCTGCTAAAGAATTCAGTCCTATAATACCTGTGTAACAGCACTAACCATACAAAATACTAACCTGATTTGCCTGATCTGTCTTTACAAATTAAATAGTAACACATCCTCTATAATTAAAATTTCTTCAAAAAACATAACACATGAAATTAATGGGTCTTATACCTTAATTCATTTATAATATATGATCCAGTAGTATGTCTCATATTTAAGAATCTTCTATCATTTCCAAACTAAACTCTTATAATTTAAATATACTTAAATCCCTGATATACAGCTCTTACCGTAATCCATTCCTTTGGTCAAAAGCAGGAATCATAGAGTTAGGATGTTCTGACATTAATGCAACAAGCAGTTGTAGGACATCCATTAGATTGTCATCCTAAAATCAAAACAGAAATTTTTTTAAATATGGAAAAAAGAACTTTTTGAACACTGAATACTTCTGAAATGAAAAAAAATTGTAACTTAAATAGACATATGAGCAATATATAGTTTTTAACAAGCTCGTTCTTTACACACACATATTCATCTGTTTAACTCGAAATACACATCACCAAATAGTCAAATGTCTTAATCAAAGAAACATAATCCTTCTTATAGTATAGAGTATCAAGATTTCCTGAAACATATCCTATAGATCTACTACATCTACTACATCTAACGTAACAGGTTTTTTTTAGACAGAGGTTTATACATCAAGAAATTGAGGGAAGGGGAAACTAAGTTTTCTTTTTTTTTTTCTTTTTTTATAGCAATATATATCAGAGCTTTTAATAAGGTAATCAATGTTGGCAATCTGATGGCAGTGTTGGGAGACAACGTATGTATCATTTCCCAATTTATTTTTTTTTTTAAAGATTTTATTTGCAAAATAAAATGGCCAGGATGACCTGGTACAGATGAGATGGTCCATGGTACATGACCAAGCCATGGGCCTTTGGGCTGCTGTTTTGTTTTGTTTTCTATTTTGTTTAAGTTGTAATTAAAAGGCTTTGTTAGGTGTTTCCAAAGGGAAAACTTCTATTTCACTGGTACAAGTGAGGGCTTAGGTATGGACAAGTGGAAATATTGTTGAAACTACAAAATCATTTTAAAATAGTGCTATGGATGAAGACTCCCAAGTTTATTAATTTTTTTTCTTACAAGCTATTCTCTCAAATTAAAAAAAAATTACTGTGACTAAGAAATAATTTGCTGAGTACTTCAGTGTGTACCACGGTAGCAGATAAGAGCTTGGTACTTGTCGGTCTCGTCACCCACATTCCGTACCAGCAGTAGGAAAGACATTCTTAACTTTTTATCAAAACACAAGCCTTTTCATAAAATACCAATTGGCTTTGTAGATTAGAGAAATTTCATGTGAAATCTTGCCTTTTTATTTTTTCAATTGAAAACTACCACAAGTCACAGAATATATGAGTGGTCCTTCCTAATTTTGTTCTTACTTAAACTTGATGGAGAAAGGAAAATAAAATGAAGTTGCAGTAACCGATTATTGCCATCTTTATATTTTCTTGAAGAAATCTATGCATTTTCAAGATGAAACTAAAGCGTATGATGTTCCATGAGACATTAGGGTGGATTACTGTTCACTGAATTAATTCCCTGTATAATGTGCTCTTTTCTTACTCTGAACACCTTGGTAGCTGTCACTTCTTCAGAAAGACAGCCTCCCTCAGAGTAGTCCTTGCTTCTGGCTGTTAGAGCGTGTGTGTGAGAATTTCCATGGCACCCGTGATCTTGGCATTGTAAATTCAGTATCCCAGGACTTGAACCTTTATGCTACGTTTTTGAAGATTTTTTAATAATGTTCATCAGTAAAAAATATTTTTGATCTAAATATAGGCTCAGTGTATCTGTTAGATAGTGTTTTGTCTCGTTCGTTTCACATTTTTGTCTAGGCAAGGAACGTTAAGATTTCAAAAAAAAAAAGATTTCAAATAAAATTTCGAACCAAAAACATTTATAATGCAGTTCTGCTTTTTCTATTACTTTTTATACTCTACCTTCAAAGTGTCAGGCTGAAAGAGTTTATTTTGGTGGTCAAAAAATAAAATATGCTTCCACTCATGTAACTATTTTAAATATCAGGAAGTAAAATAATGAAAGACACACGAATCGCTCCCTTTAATGTTGATTTCAGACGGTGGGCAGACACTCGGTCTGTGAGACAGGTTGATCTTTCATTGTTAGGACGCCAGCTTGTAAAGGTATTCTCGAAAATGTTTTTTCTGATTAGAATTAATTTTTGAAAATGCAGGAAGCTCGTTATTCCTTGTAAGTATTCAGGCTGCCTTTTTTTATGCAGTTGTGGAAAGAATGTAAAATGTTTTAATATATTCTTTATTAATCTGAGAACTTGCTATTTCTTCACGTGGGAGAGGGAAAGAGGAACACCCTAAAACATCTTTTTCTCAAAGTCAGCAGTGGAGGTTACAAATAGTGTGCATTTTTTATAGTAATTGCAGCCATGTCTGCAGGCTGGCAGGCATGGTATACTCAATGGCAAGCCTTGGGCATGGGCTCCGGCACGGCAGTGGCTAAAACAGCGTATGAGATGGTCCTGGCTGAGGACAACTTCTCCACCATCGTGGCTGCAGTGGAGGAGGGGCGGACCATCTACAACAATATGAAGCAATTTATCTGCTACCTCATCTCGTCGAATGTGGGGGAAGTTGTCTGTATCTTCCTGACAGCAGCCCTTGGATTTCCTGAGGTTTTAATTCCTGCCCAGCTGCTCTGGGTCAATCTGGTGACAGACAGCCTGCCCGCCACTGCCCTGGGGTTCAACCCTCCCGATCTGGACATCATGAATAAACCACCCCGGAACCCGAAGGAACCCCTGATCAGCGGATGGCTCTTTTTCTGTTATCTGGTCATTGGCTATTACGTTGGCGCTGCTACCGTGAGTGCTGCTGCATGGTGATTCATTTGCTGGCCTCATCCGGCACCAAAGGACTCATACAGGTGAGAAGCCCCATGAGTGTAATCAGTGTGGCAAAGCTTTCAGGGATAGCTCCTGTCTGACCAAGCAACAGAGAATTCACACAAAGGAGACCCCATTTGGGGTGCCCCATTTGGGGACCCATTTGGGTGTTGAGTTTGATAAGTTCTTTATAGATTTTGGATACTAGCCCTTTATCTGATAGGTCATTTGCAAATATCTTCTCCCATTCTGTTGGTTGTCTTTTGGTTTTGTTGACTGTTTCTTTTGCTGTGCAAAAGCTTTTTATCTTGATGAAGTCCCAATAGTTCATTTTTGCCCTTGCTTCCCTTGCCTTTGGCGATGTTTCTAGGAAGAAGTTGCTGCGGCTGAGGTCGAAGAGGTTGCTGCCTGTGTTCTCCTTTAGGAAGTTGATGGACTCCTGTTTCACATTTAGGTCTTTCAACCATTTGGAGTCTATTTTTGTGTGTGGTATAAGGAAATGATCCAGTTTCATTCTTCTGCATGTGGCTGTCCAATTTTCCCAACACCATTTGTTGAAGAGATTGTCTTTTTTCCATTGGACATTCTCCTGCTTTGTCGAAGATTAGTTGACCATAGAGTTGAGGGTCCATTTCTGGGCTCTCTATTCTGTTCCATTGATCTATGTGTCTGTTTTTGTGCCAGTACCATACTGTCTGGATGATGACAGCTTTGTAATAGAGCTGGAAGTCTGGAATTGTGAGGCCGCCAGCTTTGCTTTTCTTTTTCAACACTCCTCTGGCTATTTGGGGTCTTTTCTGGTTCCACACAAATTTTAGGATTATTTCTTCCATTTCTTTGAAAAAAGTGGATGGTATTTTGATGGGGATTGCATTGAATGTGTAGATTGCTCTAGGCAGCATCGACATCTTCACAATATTTGTTCTTCCAATCCACGAGCATGGCACGTTTTTCCATTTCTTTGTGTCTTCCTCAATTTCTTTCATAATTATTTTATAGTTTTCTGAATACAGGTTCATTGCCTCTTTGGTTAGATTTATTCCTAGGTATCTTACAGTTTTGGGTGCAATTGTAAATGGGATCGACTCCTTAATTTCTCTTTCTTCTGTCTTGTTGTTGATGTATAGGAATGCCATGGATTTCTGTGCATTGATTTTATATCCTGCCACTTTACTGAATTCCTGTATGAGTTCTAGCAGTTTTGGGGTGGAGTCTTTGGGGTTTACCACATAAAGTATCATATCATCTGCAAAGAGTGAGAGTTGGACTTCTTTGCTGATTCGGATGTCTTTTATTTCTTTTTGTTGTCTGATTGCTGTGGCTAGGACTTCTAATACTATGTTGAATAGCAGTGGTGATAGTGGACATCCCTGCTGCGTTCCTGACCTTAGGGGGAAAGCTCTCAGACCTTCTTTATGTAAAACTATCAGTCAAGACCAAAACATATCACTAAAGTTAGTGTCTGTGCTATAGACCCAGATCACCACGGGCATTATAAGCAGCACAAATGGCCAGGAAATCCCATCGGGGCATGCCGAGAACGAGCAGGATTTGGTGGCAGGCTGCACACACTCTTTACCAGGTTTCAGGTAGTTGCAGGCCACAAACTTGAGTGTCTCGTCCATTAGAATCACAGGCAAGGAGATTTTCAGCACCATCAGCCACTGGGTCAAATTCAGCGGTGTGATCTGGAAAATAAGTGGCAAAGGTTCCACATAGAGGATGAGGAAGTGGAGCGACATGGACAGACAAATGGAGCCCACAAGCCAGATGTTCTCCCAGGGGGGCATCCTCAGCAGGGACTGGTTTTCAGATAAGCTGTTGAGGGCGTTACACATCTCTCTATGGTTACTAGAACAGACAGCGCCATTGTCATCAGGTATGGGGACTCAAAGATTGCACAATCCACTCCTTCAAAGTCCGGGTTGTCATCTTTACACTGTAGGAAGTGGCTCAGCTGGTAGAAGGACCCTTCTGCTTCTGAAGGTTTCAGCATTTAATGAGAACTACATCAGAGGATATAGGACAAGGCAACTCACTCAGGATTAAACAGGAGAAATGTAGAATCAATTCCTGATGGACTGTCCTTGGTAATAATGCTTTTTTCATCATACCAGCCCTTCCAAATCCTGAATTTGTATTTGAGCCAGTGTTAGAAAATCATGTATTCCACCTGAACGACTTTAGGTCAGGGAATGGGAAGTATGATTCATATCCTATTCCTGAAGCTAAATCTCAGAGCCTCACTCCTCAAAACAAGAGATCAAGATGCTTTTCATATTTATTTAAAAAAGAAAAAAACCCAGAATGGATTAAAAAAAAAAAAAAATCAACAAGGACACAAGTGCCCTGACACAGGACAGAAGATAGCTAGAAAAATATGCCTTAGGAAAGTTAGGGAGCCCTATTACCTTATTTTAAAACTGTACCTAACAGCTATTTTTCCATTGATCTAGCTACTCCTGCCCTACCTCCCAATATGGCACAGCAAGGCCTCAGTTGAAGAATCCCTTATACATACAGGCTGGTATAGTACTTCTCAATTAACTAGAATAGGATCCCATCCCCATATGATCTCATTCCAGGTCTATGGCTGACTACCTTCATTATTATGTTTAGAGATGGTTTCACCTCTTGAAAATATGGCTACTAAAGCACAAAACATTGTTTTAATAATGATCAATAAATCATCTTCCCCCCCTGCCCTTTACATGCAGCTGAAAAGTGACTGACAGAGTACTATGAACTTTGTATGGTTGAAAT